AATCTAATTGGCAACTATATAACAACACCCCTTTTTCTTTTAGAAAAGTATATATTCTAACAAGATGCACTAACCACAATACCACATAAGAACAAGAGGCAAATTCATAGATACTCTATTTGAGACCCTAAACTCAGCAGTCTCATTAAGCAATTTCTTCAAATACATCTATACTAAATTGTAAGACATTCCAAACATAAGGGTAAACAACACTGACAAACTAATTAATTTTTTCTAAGAGGGCACTGAACCCTTTCTCAAGAAGGCACAAATAAATGTATATCTTCAATGTCACAGGTAAATAATAACCCAAAAATAATGATAACAATAACACATAGAGAGTAAAAATGGCTGTTCCAAGAGTTTCAATTAATGAGTATCATACCCCAAGTCAGCACATAAAGACCAAAAAAAAAAAAAAATCACTTCAAAGATATTTAGCAGACAGAAAAAGTCATACATAAACCTTCCTTGCAATAAAAATCAGCATCAATAACAGTAAAGGAATGATATAACCCATATATATGCAACTAAAACTCTAAAACCTTCAATGAAATCGATGAGACGTACCCACAAAATCTCGGCAAACATGGAGATCAGCGTAGCTATCAAACTCGAAAATGTAGCTTCCCCCCTGAAACAAACACACACATTACTCAATACAACATAAACACAAACAAAAACATAACTTTACACCTGACTTAAAAAACAAGAAACGCAAACCTGAAAGGATAGATTAATCAATGGCGGCTTGTTTGATCCCTCCTTAGTATATTTATGGCCTGTAAACAGAACCCCAGATAAAATGTTACACCCATAAATGAATTAATATCATCAAAATCAAAACTTTTTTCAGAAAAAACCCACCTTGAATTGACTTGAACTCCACAACCACCTTAGTACCAGAGTTACGATTATCAGGCACGAACATTAATTTCTGCTCATTCTTTACAATTTAACAATTAAAAAAAAAAAAAAACCAAACAATAAACAGCATTAACAATCAATGAACATAAAAGAATGGAAACGATAACAAGTTGTGAAGAGAAAATGAGAGAAACCATTCTAAGAACACCGGGACAGCCGGGGTCTTTGACGGAGGTTTTGTACTTAGTTCGCTTGGTGACCTGCGAGCTTGACATCTTTAAAAGCCGATCAATGAATCATTCAATGAATTCAGCTGGGGGTGCAATTGAGAAAAATAAAAGTAGCGATTTAGTTAAGATTCTCTGCATCAACGGGCTCAAGTTTCAATCTTTATTTCAGGGAGTGATCTGCATTTAAAACTCTCAAGTGGGTTTGAATTGAAGAGATTGGTCGCTGATTCTTTGGTGTATTTGAAGAGAACACGCACAGAGAATGAAAGATGGGAGAGATTTATTGGGACCTGCTCTGTGTGTGTGCTGTTCTTGGGAGTTTGGAGAAAGCACAGCTTAATCATATAGCACAAGAATATCAGGACGCAAATAGCAAATCTTTTTTCTTTTTTTTTTTTTTTTCTTTTTTTTTTTTCAGAAGAAAGGTTACTGTAATTTTTTTGGAAAAATAGCCAAACCTAGCTGTAGTTTTGACCATATAATCCTCTTAGATTAATTTTATTGCTCGTAATATTGATTAACACTAAACTATATAATTAGATGCATTAACCCTTTTTGGGATCCGTGTTAATGGTAATGTGGACTCAACCATTTGACACTTTTAAGTTTATGCTTTTGGAAAGGTAAATGTGGAATGTCTTTCTTGTGAAGTGGTTTATATTCGATGATAATTATAAGTTAAAGTCAATATTAGAGTTTTTAAACTATCCTTAAGTAATCGAAGGGTTGAATAGAGACTCTTGGAGTATTACACAAGAAGTCATAAATTCAAGGTTGCTAATAGGGTTAGCCAAGGGAGGTTTCCGTTGACTTCAAAGTCTTAGAAATTAGTTGAGATGCATGCAAACTGGCTTGAGCACCTCAGTCATAAAGAAAAAAAAATTAGAGTTTTTGTTTCAAACAATTGTACTATATGCTTGTTAGGGGAATCACTAAGGGGACATTTGATTAGGGGTTATGTGGGATTATTAGGGTTATGTCATCTTATATTACTTGATTAACATGTTTGATTGTTAAGTAATATAAAATTACGATAATTTTCAAATACTAATAGTAATTGCTATTGGTAATATTGGAGGTAATATGGGATGCGTTTGGTTCCATATTATTATCCATATTCTCAATCATATTCATCAAACATTATTTGAGAAATATTATTTTATTTTTTAATTACTTTTAAACCACTTAAGTTTACTAAATTCATTAAATACCCCTCGAAAAAAGTTTAAAATGTAACAAAAACACCCCCTAAACCCATACTTGCCAGATTCTGGCAACCACCGCCGGTGGTAGTCGAAATCTGTTACAATGGCCTACACCACTACCGGAAAAGGCCGGTAATTCACCGATCTGGCCTTTTTCGGAAAGTCCATTGTTGATGGCCAAAGAAATGGCCGTCGTTGACTGACAATGACGGCCAAAGATGGACTTTAGCGGCCGTCGACTAGGGGTGTTCAAAAAAATGCAAAAACCGAACCGAACCGGTAACCGAACCGAAAAACCGGTTAACCGAAAAAACAGTTCGGTTACGGTTCGAAAAATTCAAAAAACCGAATTTTCGGTTCGGTTACCGGTTCGGGCAAAATTAGAAACGGTTAACCGAAAACCGGTTTTCTAAACCGGTTTTTCAAATATATATATATATATATTAAATAAATAAATAATAACCTAAACTAAAATAAATCCCTAATTCACTCAATCTAAAATCCCAACCCAAATTTTTTTCTTAGTTTCCAATGTATTGTCTATATTTACAATTTAATTTAGGACAAAATTAAAAAAAAAAAGTTTTATAAAAAAAAAAAGGGAAAACCGGTTCAAAACCGGTTAACCGCTTTTTTTAAAATGGTTAACCGGTTTTTCGGTTAACCGAAAAACCGGTTTTCCCTAAAACCGGTTCGGTTTCGGTTCGGGAATTTTTCCAAACCGAAAATCCGGTTCGGTTTAGAAAAGCGGTTAACCGGTTCGGTTAACCGCTTTTGAACACCCCTACCGTCGACGGCCACATCTGGCCGTAGATCTGGCATTTTCTAGCCAGATCTGCCAGAAAAGGCCATATTGACGCGTTACGACACAGATTCGACCAGTCTGTGTTGTAATGTAATTTTCAGGCCAGATTCCGGCGGTGGTGGCCAAAATCTAGTACTGCACGTGATAGGGGTGTTTTTGTTATTTTACAAAATTTTTATATATTGGGGTGTTTAATTAAATTAGCAAACTTAGGGGGTTTTTTAGAAATTTTTAAATTTTACCTTATAATACTCCCCTATTCAACTACCTAATTTTATTCCCAAAATTCTATCCAAAATAATAAACCAAACGCACTCCTGATTACTTCCATTTTCTTAGGTATTATAAGATTACAAGATAATCTTTTTTTAGTTGTAATTCTATCCCTTATTAATAAAATTTTAGAACAATCATACCTTTATTTTTAAATTAATTTACATGAATATAGCTTTTACTATTTCATCCAAATTAATTAACTTTTTAGATAAAATTACCCTTGAATTCAAAACAAATTGCAGCCCACCCAAGCTACCACCCCACCCACCTACCGCCGCCGGTTGTTGGCAACCACCCCTGGTGACCAGCCGCCACCGTTGCCAGAACGGCACACGAAAGGTCGAAAATAGCCGTTGTGCGTCGATATGGCCATTTGCGAGCAGAGATCTAGACGGAAATGGCCATACAACGCACGAAGGCCATTTCCTACCTTCCGTGCGCCATTAGGTTGCTAGCTACCAACGGTCGGCAATGGCTGGGTTGGTGGGGGTGCACTGTTGATTCGAAGGCCATTTTGCTGAGAGAATGTATGAAAATTGAAAATGTTAAAAGCATACTTTGCGCTTGGATTCGAAGGTACATATAGGAGTATGGTTAGCATTTGGTCCCAAATGTGACTCCAAAGAGTGAGAAAATTTTGTTAACATCATGAATACAAAGTATTTATAGGAGTGCGACAGGTGTTTGATCCTAGAGTTTTATTTCAATGATGACATTGGTTGGTTTACACTTTACATCATAATAGCTATGATAGTAATGTTAATCGATGGATGTATAATAAATTCTTTGAAATGAAAGATCTTCTTTTTATCTTTTATTATTTCTTCTTCTTTTTTTTAAGCTCACTCAATTCTTTATGTAAAAAAAATTTATTAGGATAATTAATCTTTTAATCTCTATTTAAACGATGATAAAAGATACCAATATATTTCACTGTGTGTAAGTTACTTTATAAGCGAGATTGATTATACCAGTTACCACTTTTTAGTATCAATCTCCTAATGGATCATCATTGTTCAAAGATTAAATGTTTAACGGGGAGTAATATTACACTAATAACCCTTTCTCACAAACTTTTTCTGTGACAGCTCGCAATTGGTCAATTTATAATTAATTAGTAAGACCCATGTGAGATCCGTTGTAAACTGATCAATTGCGAGTTGTTATATCAATGTTGTGAGAAAAAGTTGTTGGTGTAATATTATTCGTTTAAAGGGTATAATAGTAAAAGAAATTATAAATTTGACATATGTTCCCTGAACTTGTGGAAACTCCACATTATGATACCCTTTGATTGGTTTTTCAAAATAACCCTACCCTTTGATTGGTTTTAAAAAGATAACCCTACCCTTTGATTGGTTTTAAAGTATAACCCTACCTTTGATGGGTTTTCGTTAAGAGTAACCCCTTTGTAACCCCTCTGATGACCTATTTATTTATCCAAATTGATAAAAGTACCCGATTTATTTGTTTATGATATGCTACGTGTCTTCACATAATTGATTAATGTATTAACCAGCAGCGTTCCCCACTGCAGAGAAACTCACCACCTTCCTTTGTTTCTTCTACTTCAAGAAGTAAACTAAAACTCGATCGAAGTCCACGTTTAAAAGTTAAAAAGTAAAAACAAAAGCAAACCCAACACACTAGGACAACAAACTGAGAAACCAAAGCACTATATATAACCCAATGCTCAAGTTGAATTGAACTCCACACATACACCAAGAGATCCAATCAGAACAAAGAGAACAGAAGATGAAGATTACTGTAATGACTGAAGATGAACAGATCATTACCTTAGATGTTGATCCCCATGAAACCGTAAAGAAGCCTCAATTAAGCCCTAATCTTATTTTGCATGTTTGTATAGAATTTTGGAAAAAGTTTAACTTTTTATTTCTGGGGTTTTTTTTTTCTTTTTGTAACAGGTTGAAAACGTTAAAGCTCTGCTCGAAGTTGAGGTAAAGTTGCTTTCTTTTCGTTCAAGTTTTCAACTTTTTGATGATGGGTTGTTTGGGTAATGAAGAAAAATAATTCCTTTGGGGTTAATGAGTTGGTCTACTGTTTTTGTCGTTGGGAGTGTTTGATTCAACTTTTTGTTTACTTTTTGATGATGGGTTGTTTTGATAATGAAGAAAAAGAATCTGTGTTCGGTTAATGAGTTGGTTTCTGTTTTTATTTTTGTGAATTTTTTTACTTATATGTGTGCTTTGAGCAGACCCGGGTGTCGCTTAGGCAACAACAGCTGCTGTATAATGGGAAGGAAATGGGGAATGCTGAGAAACTGAGTGCATTGGGTGTTAAAGACCAGGATTTGGTTATGATGGTCTCTAATGCTACATCTAGGTATGTTAAAAAATGTTGCTTTTTGTTGAGGATATTGTTTTTTTTTATTAATGAATGTCGTTGGTGTTTGACTGCATTGCAATGTTCGTGGCTTTAATGTTTCTGGGATTTTAGTAATGATGCATGCTGTGTTAGGGTTTTTAATCTAGGTTGATTTGGATGTTGATTTAGATTTTTGGTTTTACAACTAAACAAAATTTGTAAAGGATTAGTAATGATGGTTGTAACATCACTGTTATGTCATAATTCATTTGGGTGACAGATTGTATGCTGTCTGTTGTCTATTGATATATTGTTGATTTTGCTTTGAATAATGTCGTAATTCCGTTATTCAAGAGTGCTTTTGCACTTTGGAATGTCTCTATCCTTTTAGAAAGCTGCTAGTATGAATACCAATTATGGATACAAGGAATGATATGAAATTGTAATTTGTGAGATATTTGTTTTTTATGTCTATTATGGTTACCAGGAATGAGAGATGCCATGGTCTTGCATGTTGAGCTGTTTAATTAGTCATATTAATTGAAGTCACTCCAGATAAAAATTGAAGAAGGATGTAAAAAGTTGGTGTTGCTAAATTGTTTAGTCTGAATTCTCTGTAACAAACCTGAAAAACCGGAAAAAAATAAAAATAAAAAGCCTCTGTGTAACAGATTGCAAAGGACACCTTTCCTTGAATCATGGGATAGGCTGAGATAGCCCATAGATATTTTTCGCTTCTTGGTTGCTCTCATAGTTCATTCACAGTTTGTAATCAAATTTATTGCATTCCTTTTTTGGTAACTGAAAAAATTTCTAATTTTTCAGTACCCCTGCCAATACCTTGGGCTTCAATCCCGATGGTTCTGCTGTGAACCCTGCAGCTTTCCAGCAGCACGTACGGAATGACTCTAATATGATGACACAACTGTTTCAGGTAGATTGGACTGTTTTTTACCAATTTGCTCTTCTGTGATTGATGACTCAATTTGTGGGTTTTTGGCATTCAACTGTTGTTGAACTTTCAGGCCGATCCTGAATTGGCACAAGTCGTCCTTGGAAATGATCTCAACAAACTGCAGGAGCTATTGAGAGAGAGACACCGTCAAAGATCTATATTTCGACGTCAACAAGATGAGGAGCTTGTGAGTAGGCTTGTGACTGGTCACTTTAATTAGTTGTGTTCCAGTCATTAAAGTTTCTTTGCATTTAACCACTTTAGTTATAATTCTGGCTTTGTGTCAATAAACTAATTAGAGAAAATATCTGGTAAGGATTAATTTAACATGAAATATTATACTACCAATTCTTGTTATTTGTTCCTATTAATTTGAATAGACATTTTTGAGTCTAAAATTTGGGTAGACCATTGTGAATCCACTGTAAATTTTTAATGAGAAGCTGATTTTTCTATGACCTTCTTGTTCTGTTTTAGGAACTTCTTTATGCGGATCCTTTTGATGTTGAAGCACAAAAGAAAATTGAAGCTGCCATTCGCCAGGTCAGTGTATTGTATCAAATAAAAATTTTAAGTTTAGACTGTTTGGCTGATTATATTGTTTTTCTCTTTCCATATGCTATACTACGGCTGCCCTCACGATTTTTATAGATTATGTGACCTTTTGCATATTTCTAATTCTTTTGCAGAAAGGAATTGATGATAACTGGGCAGCTGCCTTGGAACATAACCCTGAGGGTTTTGCAAGAGTGGTATGTATGCTTTTCAACCTTAGTAACCTATGATTTGTTTGCTTCTTTGTTTTCATTTAATCCTTCTTGTGTAATTCTTCAGGTTATGTTGTACGTTGACATGGAGGTTAATGGTGTTCCTTTGAAGGTAGAGATGATAGAGAAAACATTTGGCTGATGAATATTTTACTTTATATATTTTTTTCATCCAAGTTCAACATAGCATACTAAAGTTTATACTGTTGTGTACTTGTTACGTTCTCTTTTATCATGTATCATCCAACTCATCTAGTCATAGGACTTCTCTTGCTTCTTTCTTCACATCTCAATGTAATCTATTTCCAGCATTTTGCATCTTTTGTGTTATAGAGGAAAGCTAAAACTTAGAATGTATCTGTATTTGATTCTCTTTGTCTCAGGCATTTGTAGATAGCGGTGCACAGTCAACAATTATATCAAAAAGCTGTGCAGAACGTTGTGGGTATGTGTCATATATCTTTAATCATTTGATTTACATACCAATGCTGGTGTTTCTGAACGATTGTTTCATGCAAGTTCATACTTAATATGATTTAATTTTGAATAGTGAAGAATAAACTTGTGGACATTTATATTCATTCTATACCAGGCTATACTTATAGATTATGTGCTTCTGTATAACATTTATTATTTGTTAAATAGCAAGGTCAGCATAATAAGACAGGTGCTGACATAATTGGTTGGCCTTTCATGCATGGCTTTTAAGGCATACAATTTGTCGCATTCTCTACTGTGAGATAGATGGTTATGGGTTGAGTTAAGAGTGAAGATTTGGATACCAATTTTAACAGATGGAGGTCTGTGGTTGTAATGTTGTTGATGTGGTCATTTACAGATTGCTAAGGCTTTTAGATCAACGTTACAAAGGCGTGGCTCTTGGAGTTGGTCAGTCTGAGATTCTTGGTCGAATTCATGTGGCCCCAATCAAGGTATTAAAATCTGCTTTCTGTGAAAGTTAAAGAAATCACTGAATGCTACATATAGTGTTTTTAGTAAAATATTTCCTTTATAATTATAAAATTTCTAAATGATTGACCAAGCAATGATTTTCTGCGATTTCACCAATGGTTGACCAAACATGCATTCTTTTGTGTGCAATTTCCTTGCTTTGATGTGGGCCCAACTCGCTTATATGTGAATGAGTCGTTACATGTGCTTTCTCTTTCCTTTCCATCAAATAAGTCACATGTGAGCAATAGACTTGGGAATTATTCTCATGGTATTTTTTGATTGATGTTGTATTACTGACATTTCGGTGACAGATTTATTGTTGAAATTTGAAATTTTAACCTATATTATATGTTATGTTGAGCATATGTTTTACTTCTCTCCTTCCTGTAGATTGGGAATATATTCTACCCCTGTTCGTTTGTGGTACTGGATTCTCCCAACATGGAATTCCTCTTTGGGCTAGATATGCTTCGAAAGCACCAGGTAGCATCATCTCTTGCTCTAATATCTGATGTACCAGTCCATTTTTGTACTTTGATAATATTTTCTTATATTTGTTTTTAACTAAGACACTATCTGCAGTGTATGATTGACTTGAAGGACAATGTTTTAAGAGTTGGTGGAGGGGAGGTAGCTGTACCATTTTTGCAAGGTCGGTCCCCAAATCACTGTTTTGGTGTAAATTTTTTTAAGTTACTCTCTTGTAATGATGAACATTATTTTCCATGTATATGGTTAAACTGATTTTCTATGGTTCATTAGATTATCAATTTCTTTAATTTTAAAACTTTTATGAAAAGTTGAAATAAATTATGTGCTTTTCAGAGAAAGACATTCCTCCTAGGTTTCTGGATGAAGAGAAGTACTCCAAACAAGCATCCAGCTCAGGAATTGCAGTATGTCTACTCTTGATCAAGCTGATTTTCCTTAATACCCTGCATTGCATGATGATTTCAACAAATGAGCTTTTGATATATTGTGGTTTATAGAACTCTCTAAATTTTATGAATGCAGATTCTATCTTATAAATTAGTCCAAGTTGAACTTTAGAGAAAATCACTGGATATTCTTTTCTAGATGATGTTCTATACCACTGTTGGAGTGTTGTTGCTAATCTGAAATTTTGTATGAAAAATACGTAGTTGGTTCAGATAATATTTGCATTTATGGATAGTATTTGATTTTTGTTTTCTCAGAATGGTCCTTATAACTTTACAAAGTTTCTGCTTGTTCAGTGATTTAATTGTAGCAATAGCACTTTGCCTTCTCTAATTTAGCCTTTGAATACTTGTGATTCTCCAGGCGACATTAGGACAAACAGATAAGAAAGATAGTCTACCTGCAGGAGGCCAATCTTCCGGTTAGTTTTAGAAATCTTTCTATCTTTTCATCATCGCTTGCCTTGTAACCTGAAAGCCGCATTCTCAAAACACTTATTGGTTTGAACTTTGAACTTTATGTGTGCTTGTGCCGCCTGATAAATCTACAACTGATGTTTCTTTTCTTCCATTGGTCACAGGTATCACGCCTGGCACACCCAGTGATGCAACACAGGTAAATCTGCCATGTTCAATTGTGTTATGGTAAAATTTGATTGATTTAGCTTCAATACCTCTATTATCTATTTTTTTTTTTAATTGAAATTATTATTTGACTTTAGGGAGCTGATTTTGAAGCTAAAGTTGCAAAGCTTGTTGAACTAGGTTTCGGAAGAGCTGCAGTAATACAAGCACTCAAATTTTTTGATGGGAATGAAGAGCAAGCAGCTGGGTTTCTCTTTGGAGGCTGAATAATCATGGAATTGTCATTTATAGATTACAGTTTCTCAAAAAATTTAATTCCACAGTATAAGAAATTTAAACTGTGATTGGAATGACACATTTCATTTGAAAGTGTTTATATCTGCTAACATTCTTTCAATTCAAATGATAAGTTGAACTCATTGGTGTTAATCTCTTGACAATTTTGGTTATCTAGTTTTCTCCAAATGTCTACTCTTTCTCAATGCTTTTTGTTCAATTACAATCAAACCATGCTCCAAAAGAAAAAGAAAAATAAAATTTGTCATGCTTTTGAGTATTTATACTGATGGGATTTTGCATTAAGATGTTGTGCATGATTACACAATGTCAATTTAGGTTTTGTGCTTCAATACAATAGATTTGTACGAAAGAGTTTGTATAAGAAGACTTTGTCAATCAACATCTCATACGGTATGAGTCGGTATAATTTGAGATCAATAAAGATAGCTTACAACTTAATCTTACAATTTTTTTTTCATAACTCTGCTCGCAATTGGATAGGTGAGATTATTACGAGTTGACCAGTTACAAGTTGTTACATTGGGGTTGTGAGAAAAAAAATTATAAGATTGGGTTGTAAGTGTATATAGTAATGTTAGGTTTACGATCCAATTTTACAACCTTATCTCACAACTTTCAACGTGATAACTCACAATTGGTCAACTTCCAAATGGATAAGCGAGACCTGAGACCTGTAGCAAACAGGCAGAATCCATTTACGAGTTGACTAATTACGAGTTATCACATCAAGAGTTAAGAAAAGGTTATGAGATTGGATTATGGACCTAACATTATTCTTTGAAATAAAAGTAGTCAAATGGTGTAACGGCCCTGATATTATTTTCCAGCTATAAATAAATCAAGTTTGGCAAAATGAAGCAAGTAAAATCCTGGAAGCAAATCACATTAATTTCTTCAAAAAAGGATCTAAGTAGCACCTGAAGAGGCAGAAATTATAATTGGATATCATTTATTGAGTTTGATGGAAGCTATAACAGAGCAATTCTACAAACATAAAGCATTACAAGTACCACAAACTGTATATTAAGCAACTTTAGTACTTCATAATTGCATACACAAAGATGAAAAAAATTCTTCCAACTACTGTGATTTTGCACTGTAAACACAAGGCCTCCTAGCAAAAATTTCATGCGAAGCTGAACTCTCATACCCCACAGCCACACTCAGCATATTCAATCTTATAGGAAAAATGGAAAATATATAAAACATGTTGAAATGACTTTCTTGAGATGAAACTTAGCAAGGGTTAAAATCGTTCTGCTAGTCTAGCTGTAACAGATCTAAGTTTTGAATACACCTTTCCTGCTGGAGACCCTAAAATAAGACTGCACAGAGAATCTCTTGCAATTTTAATACTGGCAAACGAACCTAAGATATGAATTTTGGTATCTGCAATCACAATCCTTGTCTTCGTTGCATTCTCAATTGCAAACTTGGTTTTACCACCTTTACCAGACAATCGCCCTACGGCACGTGACAAATGCTCACCTCGAAGAGTTTTAACATCCTTGATCTCAAAAGATTCGACATAGAGTTCATCCAACCGCAAAAGGGCAATGGCATCTATCACATCAAAACCTAGCATAAAAGCATGGACAAAATCTGCACACTTCTGCAGATTACTGATGTCAGGTGTGTCTGGTCTGGTCTTCAATTCGACCTTACGTGCTTTGAGATTCATACGGATATCAATCTTCATCCCTTCATAAACTGGAGTGTAAATGTCCATCCATGCCTTCTTAAGAGGTGAATACCTATGTGGTGGAACTGAAACCTTCCGAAACTGAACTCGACCGTCAGACATCTCATGAGCCTTCAAAGGCTTAAACTTTGGCTTAGGCGGCAATGACCCTGATTCAGATATTGACTCTGGTTGAACTGCTTCAATCTCCATAGATGCGGGGACCTTGTTGTTCTGCATTATAAAATCCACTGTATTTCGCCCTGAAAAAGAGGTTTAAGCAAACAATTCAGGAAAAAGAATATAAAAGTTTGCGATAACAAGAGAACTTCAGAAACTATGAAATATATACTAGAAGTATCTTTTAGGAAAAGGTTTGTTCTTTAAGAAAAACCTGATCTAAAGAGCCTATCTTTCATCAACAATCATCACACAGATCCAACACAGACATCAAAATCACTGGTTACCAAAAAAAAAAAAAAAAAAAAAAAAAAAAAGCTAAAACAAAAGTCCATTACTTTCCCAGCTATTTGTCTAAAATATCCATTCATATCCTTAAAATTATACCTACTCATCAAGTTTAACAAAGCAAAATCATGGGATATTAATAAAATTCAATTGGGTCACTCTAATTTAAAAAAAAAAACAAGATAATTGTAACTTTGAACATGAAGGTTTTTGACAGGCACCAATAAATTATGAATCAACCAAAGATCAAAACCAACATAATTCTATTAAACGATGAATAGAAAACAAGATTAGCCAGTTTTACCTTATTTTTGGGACAATGATTTGATATTATTTGCTTTCTCTAGGACTTGGCTTGCAGTACAGAAGGCAAAGCTGAGGTTTTTGAGGTCCAATGGTCAAAAACTAGGGTTTTAGCTATCTACTCAGCTGATTGACGAAAACGACAGCGTTTGAGATTATCTTTGGGCCCCTTTAGTTCATTATTTTTACTTTATTCTATTCCATTATGTACAACTAGTCGAAGGCCAAAGCACTGTCGTTTAAGAATGTATTTTATTGTGGGCTTCTTTTAAACCCCTCAGATTTAGTGAATCTAACAGGCCCTAATATTTTTGTTGACATCAAATTTCAGGTTCAAGGTGGTAGGTTCAACAGAAACTGAGACCCCAGCTGGCCTCTTGACGCGCACATTATATGTACCGGGTGAACCAACATTCTTAAGTTTTCGAGTAACGGTGACATGGTGGAAGGGCAATTGAAACTCCGTATGCTGAATTTATCCGGATAATTCATAAGAGTAAGGCTCAGTTGAATGTCTCATTCGGTTAATAGTGCTCTGGTTGTAGCCTTGGTAACATAAATAGTTCATGTAATCTTCAGGAGTCAAGTCATAAACAAGACCTGGATCCATTGCACTGTTTGGTCTCACATGTCCTGCACTGTATGCAAACGGTGTCGCTGGGAGATTATTACAATGTAGAATATGTTTTCATGAACTTCCGCCTCTTGTTCTTGCTGATCTAATATCATCAACCCTATCATCAATATGGTTCTCAGCTGTTTTGTTGTTCACCAAAATCAACCCTACAGCGCCTGCTCTATCAGAGCCTCATTGGCCTTATCATCTCTGTCAGTGAGCATCTCATCAAGGCAAACCACGATTGTCCCATTAACCTTCTTCGGGTCTGTGGTTTTGGACCTTTGTTGCTAGCACAGGTAACAACAGTAAGGCCATTCATTATGAATCACCTTATCTCTGTTCGTTTTTTATGGACATTGTAAGTGTGAAGACCAAAACGGTGCCGTGTCACTTAACCAACACGCTGTCGTTTCAAGCATGAATCTAGACCATTAGTTTTGAGAAGATCCAACGGCTGTGCTTAGTCCATTCTGGTCAACGATATATAAGTGAACTTTTTCTCTTTAGTTTTCAAGTTTAGTTTTTCGATTGAAACAAGGTTAGGTGTTTGCTCTGCTAGGGTTCATCCTTTGTTCTGAAATCTTGATTTTGTGTAACGGGTTGAGTGATTGATTTGTCATTCTGTTTGAGGGGTTTTGTCTCTCAGTTGGCTGGGATTTTCAGTGTATAGTTTCCAGGGCTATTAGTTACCAGATAGGGTGATTTCGGGTTTGTTTGAATCTTTCGATCTTGCGTCTGTAATCTATAAACAGCTTTCCTAATAGTGCAGTGGGCTTCAATGTTTCCGGAACTCAACGTGGACGTAGCCTTCCCAATCTTGGAAAGGTGAACGACAGTAAAAATTGTGGTGTTCTTAATCTTTTGTGGATGTGTCTTATTTGGTTATAATTTGTGGTTTGTGAGTGTGTTATTACAATAGACATAATATGGGTTAATGTATGAAAGGTTAATAGTGACATCTAAAATTGTTTTGGACAATCTGGGGTTCAAATTTTTCAATTAATAAACAGAGAAAAAACTTGAGTACAAAAATTACTTCATAAGAGAAAAGATTTGGAGATATCTCTCCAATGTCTACATCTCCAATTTACCATTCTTTACTAGAATAGGACTCCTTACTATGCATACCATCTGACCATATCATTTCTCCAAAACGATAACCCTTTCACTACCACGAGGCTAAATCTGTTACAAATTTCTTCTCTTGACCATATTTTTCAAAATTCAAGCTGCTAGGCTCAACAACAATAGACACACCACTCGGTGCATTTACGGTCACATTATATGTGCCTGGTGATCCACGTTCTTAAGAGATGAGGTGAGTTCGACTGAGCCATTTAGATAAGGAAGTACTATTGAAGGTAATTTAAATCCAGGACATTGAATGATTCGGGGCACGAGTAAGCTTTTCCGAGATTGTAAATGCTCTATGAGGCTCGGGTTGTAACCGTGGGCACACAAATAGTTCAAGTACATTCACATTCAAGTCATAAACAGCCAGGATCCAATGCACTGTTTGGATTCGGAAGTCCTGCACCATATGCAAATGGGTTTGCGGCGCTGTTGTCGTTTTCATATACAATTGGATTAGAATTTGCGTCCGTTTTCCTTGCTGCGAAAAAGGAAAAAAGGTGTAGGACAATGAGAAAGCATAGATATTGAAGACAGAATTTTATGGCCTTCTAGCTGTGAGGAGACTTGACTAGGGATTTTGAAAAACTCACAGGTTGTCATGATTGCGGATCTGATAGCTGCTGGACTCCAATCTCGATGAACAGCTTTGATTAGGCCAACAATACCAGAAACGTGAGGCATCCATTGAAGTGCCAGACATCGTGATATAAGGAATCCTTCGGTTATCAGAGTTCAAGTTTGTTGGTGATGTTGCTTCAAGTTGGCAGCAATTATATTGACTCCAGGTGCATGACATCAGCTGAAATGGAAATTGATATATTAAAATTAGAAATGAAGTGACACAAGAACTGACGGTTGATAAATCTTTTTTTAGATTAACCTAAGGATAGTTGGATCAATCATATTGGGTCCTCTAGCTGAAAATCCAGCTATTGCTGGAGCTGCCTTTGTGTCGATTTCGGTCTTTACATTACTTATGTGTGCAACTGGGTCCCTGTTGCATGCATAAACATGATACATGAGTTGCTAGCAATTAAAATGGGTAATTTAAGAAGAGCAAACACATGTTCCCACCCGAGGTTTAGCGAAAACCTAATTGGTACCTCTATACATTTATTCTAGATTCTCGCCCTTAATTTAATCCTGTTTACTTTATTTTAACAATTGAAGGGTAAAAGCGTCAAAGTACCCTACATATTAAATTTCTCTCAACTCACGCCCATTGCTGGCGTCGACACTACTCTTTTTCCGTGTGCGGCCAGATTTCCCACTCAAACTGATGGAAATCTCACCCTAAGCTCAATTCCTTTGCCCCTAACCTATGATCAATTTTCGTGCCGGATTTGGCTTGTTTTTTCCACGAACTTTTGATCGCGTGATCCACAACTTAGGCCCGATTTGGGTTGTTCCTGCGCCGTTGGCCTTCCGCAACCCCACCATCGACATCCCCACCCCCCATTGACCATAAATTTAGATGTGGTTACTTTGACGCTTTTACCATTCAATTGTTAAAATAAAGTAACGGGGGTTAGATTAAGGGTGAGAATTTGGAATAAATGCAACCAGGAGTATCAAGTGGGAGTTTCGCTAACCTCGGGTGGGAAAAGTCGTTTGCTCTTTTAAGAACAGCCGAATAATGAAAGATAAGATAAATACTTGGTAGAATGAATGTAGTCAAAAATAGCTTCACCATCTTTGGAATTGATATGGAAGTTTGAAGGACGTGCATGTTGGTAAAAGCAACATTGGGACTGTTTGTGGTTAGCCAAATCATCCCAACGCTCTATTATCAGCATATTTTCCGGTTTCGAGTTGTTTACTTCCGAGCCAAAGGCACACCAAGATTTTCCCTTTAACCTTTTCCGGATCAAGGGTTCCAGGCTGACATGCGCTACTGCACCAGTCAAACACATAGCAAGAATGGAGGACAATAAAATTAGAGCTACTGAGAATTCTAGCATTGGAAGTGAGATTTGCTTACGCTTCTTAACTGGTTGTCATTGGCCCTGGCATCTTCTCCAGTATCTTGGATAAAACTTTTCTGATTTCAGGCCTTTATCTGATAGGCTTACTCCCTGAATAATTAATGGAATTAAAATGAATGATCTATGTATTCCACCTCTTACAATTGCATAGGTTTATAATTTTAAGGAAAGAATACCTTGAAGATCTTCTTGTTGCCAAGTGTAACATAATTTACAAATTCCCTATCCGTTGTGCTGGCACCATTGTGACACACCAGGGTGCAATATTTCCTACAGATCCTGCATTGGTCCTTGGTTGCCACCGAGACAACCACACTAATGCCTTGTTTAACAGCATGGAAAGAACCAATTGCAACCCCATCATTAAAATATTCTTCTGGTCCTCCACCTATTGGATGGAAAGGACATCAACACCATCACTTATTGCAGCTTCAATGGCAGCCATGATGTCTGCATCGAGCATTGTCGGTTATCGATTGGCTCCCAGCATACTTTATAGGAAGCAACGCGAGCCCTAGGTGATCCACCTTTTGCTGTTCCATTGCCATTACCAAAACATTAACATTAGGAACTAAATTTCCACCCGCTGTTGATAGGTGTGTGGGCCATGGCCATTGAAGTCACGAGTGTCATCATCTGGGAGTGACAGTATAGTTGAATTATGCCTACGAGCAACCCTACGAGCATATTTAAGATACCCTTTGTTGAAGTACCTTACTCCAATTAGCTTCCTGATTTATGAGACATTTATGTGAAGAACCCTTAAGCATTTTGGCAAACTTTTGTTGGAGAAAAATGGCAACAGTAGAGATACCTGTTACATTAACTTCATCTTTGCTATTACAGGTCCCTTGCCACCTTTTGGCACTGGACCGATGCCTTCATCAGCAAAACTCTTCGATTCCGGCAAACACCTTTAAGTGTGCCATGAACAATATTAGGATATACAAAAAAAGAATTCATTAAATCAATCAAAACTTGGGATGTAAAGCCAAAACTTTGATCAAAAAGATTCTACCTGAGTCAATGTTTCCTATAATACATCGTCACCAAAATTTGTCTTCTTCCATATTGAATTTGAAGGAATATTGTCATAGTCTTTCTCTATCCAAGAAAATTCCACGATGCTGGTTTGCAATTTCTTCCATGATTCAAAAACTGATATGACTTTGGGGTGTTCTGCACAAATAAAATAATCATGTCATTTGTAATTTAGTTCATGTCACTCCCTCCTCTACAGAGCTAAACTTTTGGGAGTCCAATTTGATAGACTGTTGATGTGAAGTTTGGTAGACTTTTATGCTGTGTGGTTAACTAATAACATTTAAGTAATTAATAGGGTAGAAGTTTGGTACAATTTGGTAGATTGACTATTATCGGGCATGGCTAATTTGGTAGATTGACTGTTTGTTGTATATTAACCGTTATGTACGGCCAATTTGGTACGCCAATTTGTTATGCCGTATATTAACGTTATGCATGGCCAATTTGGTACGCATTTAGTATATGGGTAGAAGTTTGTAGACGGTTATGCTGTATATATGCAATTTAGTAATTAATGATAGAAGTTTGGTAGACGGATATACTGTTATACGGTGGTTAACTAATAAGTAAGTAATTAAATGAAGGAGGGAGGGTCCCTTAATTGCTTTTTTTTTTTTTTTTTTTTTTCCTGTTTTCAATGTTATTATGATATTATAGAACAAAGAAAGAAAAGGAAAACTATTTAAATTAAGCTTCTTACTTTGAACTTTGGGTACATCGTCGTCATGAAGGACGCAGGCAAAGCCATTGATAAATCGGTTATAGGAGTAAAACAATGAGCTTTTTGCCTTCTTAATACTGCTCATGAAAATTCAAAAAAAAAAAAAAAAAAAAAACATAGAAAAAATGAATAAAGTTATGGAATCAATGGTATATCAACATAAGAAAAATTGTTCCAAAATCCTTTACCTTCCTAAGCATGATCCTAACAGCTCATAATGGTATAGTACTGCATGATCGTGATCAACAAGCGAAGCGTTTAACTGCACCGGATGTGTTCCTAAATATACTATATAAGACTGCATGTCCAGAAAAAAAGAAAAAAAGAAAAAAGAGGATGAAAGTTAAAAAAGATTAATCAAACAAACATGTAAGTATATATATTGTAACGAGATTACAATGAAGAATTTAATAGAAACTGTTAAGGTGTATATATGTGTTTGGGCTCTGATCCCTTCTCTTGAGTTAGTTTTTGGGGTAAGTTCTACCTAAGCCCTGTTTATCATGGTATCAGAATTCAGAAACATGTTTGTTTGGGACAATGGTGGGAAGCGTGAGAGAGGGTGTTAAAAATTGTATTTGTCCCCCATATAATGTATATATGTGGTTAAGTTCCCTTCTTCTTTGAGCGCCTAGTTTTTGGAGGTGAGTTTTATCCGGCCCTCGTTTATCAGAAACAAAATGAAACTTGAATAATTATGCATGATTCTTGAAAAAAAAAAAAATTACTGGAAAACCAGAAGAATAAGTAAAAGCTTGCCTTTAATTCTGCAAAAGTTGTTGTATAGGAAAGAGAGGTGAATAATAACAAATAAGAGAAAGCAGAAATCCTCATTGCTTTCCTTTTGAAACTTAATATTTTTTCCCTTGCTTAATTTTTATAGTTCTTGTTTTGTCTATTTTTGCAAGCTAAACTTTCTCTTCGTTTGATAACAGATGTTTCCTGTCCATAGCAACGTGAGTGTTATTTTTTTCTATATAATTAGGTAAATGTTGTAACCATATTGGCTATTTTCACTATAAGCAATAACAGCTAGAGGAAATTATTTTTACCACCGCACCTTCAGACATATATTGGAAAAATGATGACTTCTGCTATTCAATTCTTATTCTTTTTCAGGTTCATTTGGCAATGCACTCATAACGTTATTGTGTTTCAACAGTAAAGGTTGGTTCTCAACACAGTTTGATGTTACATTTCGCATTATTTACCTGTAGAGATGAGGTTTTACAAAACCTCAAGGGGATAGAGCCGAGTATCGAAACAGTCGTTTCATTTCTGGGGAGCCGTCTTGACCGGCTGCTATCCATAAGTTTGAACATGGGCTTGGATTGGTTGAATAGTTATATGTATTTGGGGCTTAACTGGGGCTAATCAACATGAGTCCAAAAGGACAAAAGAAAACGTCTTTAACAGTAATAATATGCATAAGATTCTAATAATATTCCCTCCATATTCTTATTCCTCTTCCCCCCATCTTCCATATACTCGTTTTGTTCACCAAAATGAGTATATGAGCTGCAACAATTCAAGAATTACAGATATTTCCTCATGAAGGTGAGTTCATTTTTCTTTGTATAAAAGTAGCTTTATACATGTTGCGTAGTTGCTCATGCTGAGTTTTTATGATCTGTAATCTGTTCCATTCTGTATTTGATAATAAGGGAGGAGTTTCCTTCAGAGCTTCACTGTCTTGTATTTTGCATATTCTGCAATTGTTATTGAAAAGAGCCCTTTTCCCAGAAATTAATAAAGAAAATTTTACATGGAGTTATTTTTACATATATATTTAATTGCCTCTTCTTGTATCTCCTTCCTTGTCTTTCAGGAAATTTTAGATCCCTGATAGCAGTTTTGAAATTGATAATGTTGGATCATGATACAGCGGCCGGCAAGAGGTACAAGTAAATTAGCAAATAGCAATTCCCATTTCAATACTTCAATCAACACATCTTTGATTTCTGAATTGATTAAATGGATAATTTCATACAGTGATGAATTCAGAAATGGCACCAGCAATTAGGCTTTTAACTATAAGCTTTACTGATGGTCAAGCACTAAATTTCAAATCAAATCCATTCCACTTAAATTAGATCATTACAATTCATGAATAAGCATTCCTCTGTTTCAAGAATACTACACCCTATGCCATGAAAGCCAATATACTTCTGTACATTAACAAATTCCATCTGAACAAAGAATCATCTTCTTGCCAACAAAACCTGCACACTAAATTTTATCTATAACCCATTTCATGGACATTTTTGGATATGCAATTGCAAACACACAGACTTGGTGGGCTGAATTTCAGAAACCTTTCCAGGTAATCAGAACTTCATGAAAGACTTCAGCTATAAGCTCCCTATCAGCACACAGCAGAAACGCATTGAACTCGTCTCGAATGTCATATATCTTGCCAAACTTCACAAGATACCGCATGCAGCTGCTCTTCAGTTTCGGCAATGCAAATAGAGATGCATTTTGCAGTCTCTCAAGCACATTCTTTGCGTCAATGTCTTCCAAAAGACTGTCATGGCAAGCCTCTTTCAAGTCGGAGATGTCATACTTATCAGCTGCGCGAAGAAGCGCCAATCGATGGGTGAGAAAGTCCTCATGTTCGATATTCCCATAAATATAACTGAGAAAAGATTGACAAGCTTCAATCGACATATCAGAAATGTTAATAGTTGAGAGCTCTTTCTCTTTCAGATCATGTGAAAACATGCTGCGAAAAACAGGCGATCGCGCAGCAAGAACCGCACGATGAGCTCCAATACTTCCATCAGAAGCATTAATAATGATGTCCGTGTGGATATTCTCCCTCAACATTCGACCAAGAGATGCAAGAGCAGTTGCATTTGATCGTTTTCCAGAGAATCCTTCAGCCCAAATAGAGCAAGGCTCTCCACCCTGCATATTTTACACAATTCACCATCAAAAATCAACCCAGGTACGCCATTAACAACATCATTCTAGTTGAATAAATTTCAGTACTAATTATAAAATTCGGCACAATTAGAATATCTGGGAGAAGATGCATACTTCTGGAGGTACAATCTTCAAATCAAGAAATTCGACGTCAATGATGAATTTTCCAGTCAAGGGAACCTCAATTGCCCAAACAAAATCGTCGTTGCTCTTGAGCTTCCTGTCTGTGATTTCTGCAGAAGAATTGGATGAAAAAATCTATCAAATGAGCGCATTCTTAATGAATAAGAAAGAATTCAGCTATAGTTTTATCAATAATTTTACCTGGATGAGTCAAAGACTTGCGATCTCCAACAGAACAAACCACTCGAATAATGAAAGAAGCAATTGGGGGATTATCTCTAGTCAAATTTGATATCTCAGGATGCAATTTGACAAACAACATCTTGCTCTTCTCCACTGTTAGATGCCTTAAATTCACCAAAAAACAAAACAAAATATTAAAAAAAAAAAAAATTCAAAAGATAGAAAATTTTACAAAAACAGGGCAAAACAGAGGAGTTTTACACTCACCAGTTCCACTTGCCGATCTTGAAAGGATCGGACTTGCGGTAAGTACAGGAAGCCAAATTTTCTATCCGCCATTGAGCAAGACGCGACGTGGTTTCAACCTTATACGCAGACTCGCTCATCCTAGCGAAAGCCAGAGCCGTTGTGATCTCATGGATGCAATCAAATATTCCTTCCAGAATATAATCTCCGGTCTTTCCCAGGTTTACTTTCTATAAAATTTCCTATCTTCATAAACATAAATACACAACGAAAAAAAACTCACCAAACAACACACTCTTCACACTATTTCCAGCCTTCCAAAATGATCCCACAAACACAAAAATATAAATAGAATTGTGTTTAGAATGTGTTGTTTGTTTGTTTGTTTTTGTTGTTTTCGCGCACGCAAGGATAAGGGTCTTGTTGTTGCTTTACGCCATTGAAGCTGAAGAATGATGGTTTTGTTTAACAGAGGGAGAGATGAAAAGATAGAAAGAAAGAAAGGAGAAGGACAACTGAGATAAAGAGATTTGGTGAAGGGTTGGTGGCTTACACTACACTGAAACAGGGGATTTTATATTAAGAAATTTATTTAATTTTAATGGAGGATTTTGGTTTGTTTTTTTCTCATTAATCAAAGGGTGGTTTGTGTATTATATTATGTAAATATTTTTGTAGGGAGAACGACATTTTCCCACCCAAGGTTTGGCAAAACAACATTTTCCCACCCGTCAAGTTTCTAAATGACACTTTTCCATCTTTCGTTAGGTTGTGTTAGTGTTTTCTGTTAATATTTAACTAAAAAGACGAAAATACCGTTAAATAATTTATTTCTTATTAGTTTATTATAAATTAAAATTTAGTTAAGTTAAAATTTTTATTCGATTATTTATTAGTTCAAGAGTAAATTTTTTTTCCCCTTGTTTATTTAATTAATTAGAAATGTTGATTTTTTATGTTAATTGGTAAAAATGACAAACATTATATTATGAAAAACATTATAAATATAATAGATTATTGAATAATAGTGATGAGATATTGATGACATTATAAATAAATAAATATCATCAATATCTAACTTTACACAATTTCATAGCTTTACTCACAACTTTTTAGGCATGTTAACTTTTTTTTGTTTTTTTGGACTTTTTAATATTTGAATATTTGGCTAATTAAAAAATAATAAAAAATTTATAAAGTCAAATATTTAAGGGTATTTTTGTCTTTTTAGTAAAATATTAATGAAAATCATAATAGAACCTAACGAAGGGTGGGAAAGTGTCATTTTGAAACTTGAAGGGTGGGATAGTGTCGTTTGGCCAAACCTTGGGTGGGAAAATGTTGTTCTCCCTATTTTTGTACGTGGGTTGTGGTATTGCTTGAAACTTGGAAGAAGAGAGAAAGTGTTTTTTCTGTTTTTGTTTTTGTGTTTTTGGTGCTTAGAAGCAAAGAATCTATGCCTTTGTGGCTTTGTGGATTTGATTGTTTCTTTCTTTAATTAATGAATCAACACATAGTTTTCTTTTTGTGCTTTTCCTTTAACTCAATCTTGGATTTGCTTGCACCCAATTCTTTAAGCTAACAAATGAAAATTTAATTAATTAAATAATTTTAATAAAAAAATAATAATTACTTAAATTGACTATAGACCTTATTAAATAAAAAATTGTGACATGAAGTTTTAGGTATGGAAATTGTAATTAATTATTGACTTTTTGGGTCATTCAATCGATTCTTACCTAAATATGGTTGATAATCAAAATGGGTGGTGTATATAGAGATATATATGAATTGTCCGTGGCTATGATACTATGATAAGGTGGTTTCAGTAAAAAACTAACTCAGTAGAGAAGAGACTCTCTCTCTCTCTCTCTTTTTCTATTATATATAGACTGTTATGGTATATGTAGCTTGTTATGATAGACTGTTATGATGTATATATGTGGTTGAGTTTCCTCCTCTATTGAGTTAGCTTTTGGGGGGAGTTCTACCCAAGTCACAATATCAAAGCCACCAAAGGGTGTAGATTAATAATAAAGCTCGCTCTAAATTGGTGATTCATGTATAGAATTTGTAAGCATTCTAATTTTAATGATTTGTTTGGCCAAACTCCAATGGTGGGTTTTTCTTGTAGAGGTTGATTAAAAATTAATTATTATCATACAAAACTTGTATGTAATTATTCATGTATCTTATCCTACCCATATGACCCAAAAAGAAAAAGAAAAAGACATGAAATCTAATGTTCTTATCAATTTCAATATTCTTGTTTAAGTAATCAAGTCACCAATATTAACACTATTAAGGTGGCGCTTATTATTTTATTTAATATTATATTTCTTTATTTTCCAATCGTCTGGTAGAGAAAAAAGAACCACTTCTTTTTTCAACAATAACTGATCTTTGGTGGACTTTTTAGTAAGATTTGAACCAAATGAATTTATGATCATCTTTCAAAGAAAAAAATAAATAAATTTTATAGAATTTCCAAGAAATTCTTGGATTTCTTCAAGAATTTTTTTTTAAATATTTTAAATATTTTATATGTATTATCTTTATCTTCTTATCGTAGAAAATAAATTTATGAGATAAAACAAAGAATAAAAACAATAATGAATGAAATCTAAAACAATGATGAATGCAATCTAAATCACCACACACAACTTGCATATAAAAGATTAACAAAAATTGTTAATTAGCAATAAATTAATAAAAAAATCTAAAAAGGTGATAAAATAAAGGCAATAAAAAACTTAAAAAAGGAAAAATAAATAAAAAAGGAAATTGGATGGTGGGGGGGCATAGAGAGTATTGATGGGCAAAGAAATAAAAGTAAAAATAAAATAAAATAAAAATAAAAAACCTTTTCAAGTTGACAAGAATGGTATCTATTTGTGGGACATTGAAGACCATAATCCATTTAGCATCCCCAGATTGCAAGTTATTTAGTACAATGACATTCCCTTTCATCCTAGCCCTACACTTAAGATCAGGAATTCAAGACCATGGTCCACTCATTAATTCCAATTTATTATTTAATTCTATATAGTTGTTAGCACACTTATTGAGAAACATAGGAACTTTCATTACACATTATTGCCTATATCTACCTTTACAATAATGTTTTTTCTTGTTACTTTTTTTGAAGATTCTAGAAGTATCTTATTTAAAACTTATAGGCTTTGGGTATTCTAATTTAAAAAATAGTATTTGAATCAGGTCGCTAATTTAATAGGTTGTTATAGTATTTATACGTCATTGAGCTTCCTCCTCTCTCGGAATTAATTTTTTGAAGTGAGTTTTGTTCAAGCTAATTTGTCAAGTTACAACTCTTCGAATAGAGTTCTATCCAAATCAAATTTATAAAATTGATGGTTTACAATTTAAGATCAATTTGGTACTATTATAAGCTGTGTTTGTCCTCTATCGCTAATTTGGTAGGTTGTTATAGTGTTTATATGTGATTAGACCCTCTCCTCCTAACTTTTCGAGATGAGTTTTACCAAAATTTGTTTATCTGGTATGACTAATTATTTGGTTTGGAAATTGTAAAACATTTTTTTAATATTAATTTACTAAAAAGGGTTTTAGCATCTAAGAATAGATGAAATCAAGTTTATAAGCTTGAATAATGATGAGTGTGTTTGGTTTATTATTTTGGATATGATTTTGGGGATAGTATTGGATAATTGGATACGGCCTTTGTTTTAACAGCATGGAAAGAACCAATTGCAACCCCATCATTAAAATATTCTTCTGGTCCTCCACCTATTGAGATGGAAAGGACATCAACACCTCACTTATTGCAGCTTCAATGGCACCATGGTCTGCATCGAAGCATTGTCGGTTATCGTTGGCTCCCAGCATACTTTTAGGAAGCAACGCGAGCCCTAGGTGATCCACCTTTTGCTGTTCCATTGCCATACCAAAAACATTAACATTAGGAACTAATTCCACCCGCTGTTGATAGGGTGTGTGTGCCATGGCCATTGAAGTCACAGATGTTCATCATTGGAGTGACTATAAGTTGAATTATGCCTACGAGCAACCCTACGAGCATATTTAAGATACCCTTTGTTGAAGTACCTTACTCCAATTAGCTTCCTGCATTTATGAGACATTTATGGAAGAACCCTTAATGCATTTTGGCAACTTTTGTTGGAGAAAGATGGCAACAGTAGAGATACCTGTTACATTTAACTTCATCTTTGCTATTACAGGTCCCTTGCCACCTTTCTGGCACTGGACCGATGCCTTCATCAGCAAAACTCTCGATTCCGGCCAAACACCTTTAAGTGTGCCATGAACATATTGGATATACCAAAAAAAGAATTCATTAAATCAATCAAACTTGGGATGTAAAGCCAAAACTTTGATCCAAAAAGATTCTACCTGAGTCAATGTTTCTATAATTACATCGTCACCAAAATTTGTCTTCTTCCATTGAATTTGAAGGAATATTGTCATAGTCTTTTCTAATCCAAGAAAATTCCACGAATGCGTGGTTTGCAATTTTCTTCCATATTCAAGAAAACTGATATGACTTTGGGGTGTTCTGCACAAATAAATAATCATGTCATTTGTAATTTAGTTCATGTCACTCTCTCCTCCTTACAGAGCTAAACTTTGGGGAGTCCATTTGATAGACTGTTATGATGTAGAAGTTTGGTAGACTTTTATGCTGTGTGGTTAACTAATAACATTTAAGTAATTAAATAGGGTGTAGAAGTTTGGTACCAATTTGGTAGATTGACTATTATTCGTGCATGGCTAATTTGGTAGATTGACTGTCTGTTGATATTAACCGTTATGTACGCCCAATTTGGTACGCCAATTTGTTATGCCGTATATTAACGATTATCATGCCAATTTGGTACGCCAATTTAGTAGTTATGGGTAGAAGTTTGGTAGACGGTTATGCTGTATATATGTCAATTTAGTATTAATGATAGAAGTTTGGTAGACGGATATACTGTATATACGGTGGTTAACTAATAATAGTAGTATTAAATGAAGGAGGGAGGGTCCCTTTAATTGCTTTTTTTTTTTTTTTTTTTTTTTCCTGTTTTCAATGTTATTATGATATTATAAACAGAAGAAAAGGGAGAAACATATTTAAATTAAGCTTCTTACTTTGAACTTTGGGTACATCGTCGTCATGAAGGACGCAGGCAAAGCCATTGATAATCGTTATAGGAGTAAAACAATGAGCTTTTTGCCTTCTTAATACTGCTCATAAAATTCAAAAAAAAAAAAAAAAAAAAATAGAAAAAATGAATAAAGTTATGGAATCAATGGTATATCAACATAAGAAAAATTGTTCCAAAATCCTTTACCTTCCTAAGCATGATCCTAACGCTCATTGGTATAGTACTGCATGATCGTGATCACAAGCGAAGCGTTTAACTGCACCGGATGTGTTCCTAAATATACTATGTAAGACTGCATGTGCAGAAAAAAAAAAAAAAAAAAAAAAGGAGGATGAAAGTTAAAAGAGTTAATCAAACAAACATGCAAGTATATATATTGTACGAGATTACAATGAAGATTTAATAGAAACTGTTAAGGTGTATATATGTGTTTGAGCTCTGATTCCCTCCCTTGAGCTAGTTTTTGGGGTGAGTTCTACCTAAACCCCTTTTTATCATGATATCAAAAACTATTTTGTTTGGGACGATGGTGGGGAGCGTGAGGGAGGTTTTAAAAGTTGTATTTGTCCCCCATTTAATGTATAATATGTTGGGTTCCTTGAGCGTCTAGTTTTGGAAGTGAGTTCTATCCAACCCCGTTTCAGAAACAAAATGAAACTGAATAATTATGCATGATTCTTGAAAAAAAAAAAATTAACTGGAAAACCGAAGAATAGTAAAAGCTTGCCTTAATTCTGCAAAAGTTGTTGTATGAAAGAGAGGTGAATAATAACAAATAAGAGAAACAGAAATCCTCATTGCTTTCCTTTTGAAACTTAATATTTTCCCTTGCTTAATTTTTATAGTTCTTGTTTTGTCTATTTTTGCAAGCTAAACTTTCTCTTCGTTTGATAACAGATGTTTCCTGTCCATAGCAACGTGAGTGTTATTTTTTTCTATATAATTGGTAAATGTTGTAACTGTATTGCTATTTTCACTATAAGCAATAACAGCTAGGGAAATTATTTTTACCACCGCACCTTCAACATATATTGGAAAATGATGACTTCTGCATTCAATTCTATTCTTTTACAGGTTCATTTGGCAATGCACACATAACGTTTATGTGTTTCACGTAAAGGTTGGTTCTCAACACAGTTTGATGTTACATTTTGCTATTATTACATGTAGAGATGATGTTTACAAAACCTCAAGATAGAGCCGAGTATCGAAACAGTCGTTTCATTTCTGGGGAGCCGTCTTGACCGGTTGCCATCCATAAGTTTGAACATGGGCTTGGATTGTTGAATAGTTATACATATTTAGGGCTTAACTGGGGCTAGACCATGAGTCCAAAAGGACAAAGAAAACGTCTTAACAGTAATAATATGCATAAGATTCTAATAATATTCCCTCCATATTCTTATTCCTCTTCCCCCCATCTTCCATATACTCGTTTGTTCACCAAAATGAGTATATGAGCTGCAACAATTCAAGATTACGATATTTCCTCATGAAGGTGAGTTCATTTTTCTTTGTATAAAAGTAGCTTTATACATGTTGCGTAGTTGCTCATGCTGTTTTTATGATCGTAATCTGTTCCATTCTGTATTTGATAATAAGGGAGTTTCCTTCAAGCTTCACTGTCTTGTATTTTGCATATCTGCAATTGTTATTAAAAGACCTTTTCCCAGAAATTAATAAGAAAATTTTACATGGAGTTATCTTTACATATATATTAATTGCTCTTCTTGTATCTCCTTCCTTGTCTTTCAGGAAATTTTAGATCCCTGATAGCAGTTTTGAAATTGATAATGTTGGATCATGATACAGCGGCCGGCAAGAGGTACAAGTAAATTAGCAAATAGCAATTCCCATTTCAATACTTCAATCAACACTTTTGATTCTGAATTGATTAAATGGATAATTTCATACAGTGTGAATTCAGAATGGCACCAGCAATTAGGCTTTTAACTATAAGCTTTACTGATGGTCAAGCACTAAATTTCAAATCAAATCCATTCCACTTAAATTAGATCTTACAATTCATGAATAAGCATTCCTCTGTTTCAAGAATACTACACCCTATGCCATGAAAGCCAAAATCTTTGTACATTACAATTTCATCTGACAAAAGAATCATCTTCTTGCCAACAAAACCTGCACACTAATTTTATCTATAACCCTTTCATGAACATTTTTGGATATGCAATTGCAAACACACAGACTGGTGGGCTGAATTTCAGAAACCTTTCCAGGCAATCAGAACTTCATGAAAGACTTCACTATAGCTCCCTTCAGCACACAGCAGAAACGCATTGAACTCGTCTCGAATGTCAAATATCTTGCCAAACTTCACAAGATACCGCATGCAGCTGCTCTTCAGTTTCGGCAATGCAAATAGAGATGCATTTTGCAGTCTCTCAAGCACATTCTTTGCGTCAATGTCTTCCAAAAGACTGTCATGACAGCCTCTTTCAAGTCGGAGATGTCATACTTATCAGCTGCGCGAAGAGCGCCAATCGATGTGGAGAAAGTCATCATGTTCGATATTCCCATAAATATAACTGAAAAAGATTGCAAGCTTCAATCGACATATCGAAATGTAATAGTTAGAGCTCTTTCTCTTTCAGATCATGTGAAAACATGCTGCGAAAAACAGCGATCGCGCAGCAAGAAACCGCACGATGAGCTCCAATCTTCCATCAAAGCATTAATAATGATGTCCGTGTGGATATTCCTCCTCAACATTCGACCAAGAGATGCAAGGACAGTTGCATTTGATCGTTTTCCGAGAATCCTTCAGCCAATAGAGCAAGGCTCTCCACCCTGCATATTTTACACAATTCACCATCAAAAATAAACCCAGGTAGCTCCATTAACAACATTATTCTATTTGAATAAATTTCAGTACTAATTAAAATTCGGCCAATTAGAATAGCTGGGAGAGGATGCATACTTCTGGAGTGTACAATCTTCAAATCAAGAAATTCGACGTAATGATGAATTTTCCAGTCAAGGGAACCTCATTGCCCAAACAAAATCGTCGTTGCTCTTGAGCTTCCTGTCTGTGATTTCTGCAGAAGAATTGGATGAAAAAATCTATCAAATGAGCCATTCTTAATGAATAAGAAAGAATTCAGCTATAGTTTTTATCAATAATTTTACCTGATGAGTCAAAGACTTGCGATCTCCAACAGAACAAACCACTCGAATAATGAAAGAAGCAATTGGGGGATTATCTCTAGTCAATTTGATATCTCAGGATGCAATTTGACAACAACATCTTCTCTTCTCCACTGTTAGATGCCTTAAATTCACCAAAAAACAAAACAAAATATTAAAAAAAAAAAAAATTCAAAGATAGAAATTTTACAAACAGCAGGCAAAACAGAGGAGTTTTACACTCACCAGTTTCCACTTGCCGATCTTGAAAGGATCGGACTTGCGGTAAGTACAGAAGCCAAATTTTCTATCCGCCATTGAGCAAACGCGACGTGGTTTCAACCTTTACGCAGACTCGCTCATCCTAGCGAAAGCCAGAGCCGTTGTGATCTCTGGATGCAATCAAATATCCTTCCAGAATATCTCTCCGGTCTTTCCCAGGTTACTTTCTATAAATTTCCTATTTCATAAACATAAATACACAACGAAAAAAACTCACCAAACAACACACTCTTCACACTATTTCCACCTTCCAAAATCATCCCACAACACAAATATAAATAGAATTGTGTTTAGAATGTGTTGTTTGTTGTTTGTTTTTGTTGTTTTCGCGCACGCAAGGACAAGGGTTTTGGTGTTGTTTACGCCATTGAAGCTGAATGATGGTTTTGTTTAACAGAGGGAGAGATGAAAAGATAGAAAGAAAGAAAGGAGAAGGACAACTGAGATAAAGAGATTTGGTGAAGGGTTGGTGGCTTATACTACACTGAAACAGGGGATTTGATATTAAGAAATTTATTAATTTTAATGGAGGATTGGTTTGTTTTTTTCTCATTAATCAAAGGGTGGTTTGTGTATTATATTATGTAATATTTTGTAGGGAGAACGACATTTTCCCACCCAGGTTTGGCAAACAACATTTTCCCACCCGTCAAGTTTCTAAATGACACTTTTCCATCTTTCGTTAGGTTGTGTTGTGTTTTCGTTTAATATTTCTAAAAAGACGAAAATACCGTTAAATAATTTATTTCTTATTAGTTTATTATAAATTAAAATTTAGTTAATTAAAATTTTTATTCGATTATTTATTAGTTCAAGAGTAATTTTTTTTTCCCCTTGTTTATTTAATTAATTAGAAATGTTGATTTTTTATGTTAATTGGTAAAATGACAAACATTTATTATGAAAAACATTATAAATATATAGATTATTGAATATAGTGATGAGATATTGAGACATTATAAATATAAATATCATCAATATCTAACTTTACACAATTTCATAGCTTTACTCCCAACTTTTTAGGCATGTTAACTTTTTTTTGTTTTTTTGGACTTTTTAATATTTGAATATTTGGCTAATTAAAAAATATAAAAATTTATAAAGTCCGAGAAAAAACTTGAGTACAAAAATTACTTCATAAGAGAAAAGAATTTGGAGATATATCTCCAATGTCTACATCTCCAATTTACCATTCTTTACTAGAATAGGACTCCTTACATTATGCATACCATCTGACCATATCATTTCTCCAAAACGATAACCCTTTTCACTACCACGAGGACTAAATCTGATTACAAATTTCTTCTCTTGACCATATTTTTCAAAATTCAAGCTGCTAGGCTCAACAACAATAGACACTCCACTAGGTGCATTTACGGTCACATTATATGTGCCTGGTGATCCAACGTTCTTAAGAGATCGAGTGAGTTCGATTGAGCCATTGAGGTACGGAAGTACTATTGAAGGGTAATTTAAGTTCATGACATTGAATGATTCGGGGCACGAGTAAGGCTTTTCCGAGATTGTAAATGCTCTAATGAGGCTCTGGTTGTAACCGTGGGCACACAAATAGTTCAAGTAACTTTCAGCATTCAAGTCATAAACAAGGCCAGGATCCAATGCACTGTTTGGATTCGGAAGTCCTGCACCATATGCAAATGGGTTTGCGGCGCTGTTGTCGTTTTCATATACAATTGGATTAGAATTTGCGTCCGTTTTCCTTGCTGCGAAAAAGGAAAAAAGGTGTAGGACAATGAGAAAGCATAGATATTGAAGACAGAATTTTATGGCCTTCTAGCTGTGAGGAGACTTGACTAGGGATTTTGGAAAAACTCACAGGTTGTCATGATTGCGGATCTGATAGCTGCTGGACTCCAATCTCGATGAACAGCTTTGATTAGGCCAACAATACCAGAAACGTGAGGGCATGCCATTGAAGTGCCAGACATTGTGATATAAGGAATCCTTCGGTTATCAGAGTTCAAGTTTGTTGGTGATGTTGCTTCAGAGTTGGCAGCAATTATATTGACTCCAGGTGCAATGACATCAGGCTGAAATGGAAATTGATATATTAAAATTAGAAAATGAAGTGACACAAGAACTGACGGTTGATAAATCTTTTTTTAGATTAACCTTAAGGATAGTTGGATCAATCATATTGGGTCCTCTAGCTGAAAATTCAGCTATTGCTGGAGCTGCCTTTGTGTCGATTTCGGTCTTTACATTACTTATGTGTGCAACTGGGTCCCTGTTATGCATGCATAAACATGATACAAGAGTTGCTAGCAATTAAAATGGGTAATTTGAAGAAGAGCAAACGACATGTTCCCACCCGAGGTTTAGCGAAAACCTAATTGGTATCTCTAGTTACATTTATTCTAGATTCTCGCCCTTAATTTAATCCTGTTTACTTTATTTTAACAATTGAAGGGTAAAAGCGTCAAAGTACCCTACATATTAAATTTCTCTCAACTCACGCCCATTGTTGGCGTCGTCATTTCTCTTTTTCTGTGGATTCAGTCCTGATTTCTCACTCAAACTAATGGAAATCATCACCCTAAGCTCAATTCCTTTGCCCCCTAACCTGAACGATCGATTTCTTGGCCGGATTTGACTTGTTTTTCCACGAACTTTTGATCGCGTGATCCACAACTTAGGCCCGATTTGGGTTGTTCCTGTAGCCGTTGGCCTTCCGCAACCCCACCATCGACATCCCCACCCCCCATTGACCAATAAATTTAAGATGTGAGTTACTTTGACGCTTTTACCATTCAATTGTTAAAATAAAGTAAACGGGGGTTAGATTAAGGGTGAGAATTTGGAATAAATGCAACCAGGAGTATCAAGTGGGAGTTTCGCTAGACCTCGGGTGGGAACAAGTCGTTTGCTCTTTTAAGAACAGCCGAATAAGTGAAAGATTAAGATAAATACTTGGTAGAATGAATGTAGTCAAAAATAGCTTCACCATCTTTGGAATTGATATGGGAAGTTGGAAGGACGTGCATGTTGGTAAAAGCAACATTGGGAAGCTTTTTGTGGTTAGCCAAAATCATCCCAACAGCCTCTAATTTATCAGCATATTTTCCGGTTTCGAGTTGTTTACTTCCGAGCCAAAGGCACACCAAGATTTTCCCTTTAACCTTTTCCGGATCAAGGGTTCCAGGCTGACATGCGCTACTGCACCAGTCAAACACATAGCAAGAATGTGAGGACAATAAAATTAGAGCTACTGAGAATTCTAGCATTGGGAGATGACAAGATTTGCTTACGCATTCTTAACTGGTGTTTCATTGGCCCTGGCATCTTCTCCAGTAATCATTGGATAAAACTTTTCTGATTTCAGGCCTTTATCTGATAGGCTTACTCCCTGAATAATTAAGTGGAATTAAAATGAAATGAATCTATGTATTCACCTCTTATAATTGCATAGGTTATATAATTTTAAGGAAAGAATACCTTGAAGATCTTCTTGTTGCCAAGTGTAACATAATTTACAAATTCCCTATCCGTTGTGCTGGCACCAATTGTGAACAACCAGGGTGCAATATTTCCTACAGATCCTGGCATTGGTCCTTGGTTGCCACCGGAGACAACCACACTAATGCCTTGTTTAACAGCATGGAAAGAACCAATTGCAACCCCATCATTAAAATATTCTTCTGGTCCTCCACCTATTGAGATGGAAAGGACATCAACACCATCACTTATTGCAGCTTCAATGGCAGCCATGATGTCTGCATCGAAGCATTGTCGGTTATCGATTGGCTCCCAGCATACTTTATAGGAAGCAACGCGAGCCCTAGGTGATCCACCTTTTGCTGTTCCATTGCCATTACCAAAAACATTAACATTAGGAACTAAATTTCCACCCGCTGTTGATAGGGTGTGTGTGCCATGGCCATTGAAGTCACGAGATGTCATCATCTTGGGAGTGACAGTATAAGTTGAATTATGCCTACGAGCAACCCTACGAGCATATTTAAGATACCCTTTGTTGAAGTACCTTACTCCAATTAGCTTCCTGCATTTATGAGACATTTATGTGAAGAACCCTTAATGCATTTTGGCAAACTTTTGTTGGAGAAAGATGGCAACAGTAGAGATACCTGTTACATTTAACTTCATCTTTGCTATTGCAGGTCCCTTGCCACCTTTTTGGCACTGGACCGATGCCTTCATCAGCAAAACTCTTCGATTCCGGCCAAACACCTTTAAGTGTGCCATGAACAATATTAGGATATACCAAAAAAAGAATTCATTAAATCAATCAAAACTTGGGATGTAAAGCCAAAACTTTGATCCAAAAAGATTCTACCTGAGTCAATGTTTCCTATAATTACATCGTCACCAAAATTTGTCTTCTTCCATATTGAATTTGAAGGAATATTGTCATAGTCTTTCTCTAATCCAAGAAAATTCCACGAATGCGTGGTTTGCAATTTTCTTCCATGATTCAAGAAAACCGATATGACTTTGGGGTGTTCTGTCATTTGTAATTTAGTTCATGTCACTCCCTCCTCTACAGAGCTAAACTTTTGGGAGTCCAATTTGATAGACTGTTATGATGTAGAAGTTTGGTAGACTTTTATGCTGTGTGGTTAACTAATAACATTTAAGTAATTAAATAGGGTGTAGAAGTTTGGTACCAATTTGGTAGATTGACTATTATTCGTGCATGGCTAATTTGGTAGATTGACTGTTCTGTTGTATATTAACCGTTATGTACGGCCAATTTGGTACGCCAATTTGTTATGCCGTATATTAACGATTATGCATGGCCAATTTGGTACGCCAATTTAGTAGTTAATGGGTAGAAGTTTGGTAGACGGTTATGCTGTATATATGTCAATTTAGTAATTAATGAATAGAAGTTTGGTAGACGGATATACTGTATATACGGTGGTTAACTAATAATAGTAAGTAATTAAATGAAGGAGGGAGGGTCCCTTTAATTGCTTTTTTTTTTATTCTTGTTTTTAATGATATTATAGAATAAAGAAAAAAAAGGGTGGAACGTATTTAAACTAAGCTTCTTACTTTGAACTTTGGGTACATCGTCGTCATGAAGGACGCAGGCAAAGCCATTGATAAATCGGTTATAGGAGTAAAACAATGAGCTTTTTGTTTCTTAATATGCTCATGAAAATTCAAAAAAAAAAAAAAAAAAAAAAATAGAGAAAAATGAATAAAGTTATGGAATCAATGGTATATCAACATAAGAAAAATTGTTCCAAAATCCTTTACCTTCCTAAGCATGATCCTAACAGCTCATAATGGTATAGTACTGCATGATCGTGATCAACAAGCGAAGCGTTTAACTGCACGGATGTGTTCCTAAATATACTATATAAGACTGCATGTCCAGAAAAAAAAAAAAAAAAAGAAAAAAGAGGATGAAAGTTAAAAAAAGATTAATCAAACAAACATGTAAGTATAATATTGTAACGAGATTACAATGAAGAATTTAATAGAAACTGTTAAGGTGTATATATGTGTTTGGGCTCTGATCCCTTCTCTGAGTTAGTTTTTGGGGTAGTTTACCTAAGCCTGTTATCATGGTATCAGAATCAAAACATGTTTGTTGGGACATGGTGGGAGAGCGTGAGGAGAGGGTTGTTAAAAATTGTATTTGTCCCCCATAAATGTATATATGTGGTTAAGTTCCCTTCTCTTGAGCGCTAGTTTTTGGAGGTGAGTTTATCCGCCCTCGTTTATCAGAAACAAAATGAAACTTGAATAATTATGCTGATTCTTGAAAAAAAAAAAATTACTGGAAAACCAGAAGATAAGTAAAAGCTTGCCTTTAATTCTGCAAAAGTTGTTGTATAGGAAAGAGAGGTGAATAATAACAAATAAGAGAAAGCAGAAATCTCATTGCTTTCCTTTTGAAAATAATATTTTTTCCTTGCTTAATTTTTATAGTTCTGTGTTTGTATATTTTGCAAGCTAAACTTTCTCTCCGTTTGATACAGATGTTCCGTCCATAGCAACGTGAGTGTTATTTTTTCTATATAATAGGTAAATGTTGTAACCATATTGGATTTTCACTATAAGCATAACAGCTAGAGGAAATTATTTTACACACGCACGTTCATACATATATCGGAAAAATGATGACTTCTGCTATCACATTCTATTTTTTCAGGTATTTTGGCAATGCACCATAACGTTATGTGTTTAACAGTAAAGGTTGGTTCTCAACACAGTTTGATGTTACATTTCGCATATTTACCTGTAGAGATGAGGTTTTACAAAACCAAGGGGATCGAGCCGAGTATCGGAACTGTCGTTTCATTTCTGGGGAGCCGTCTGACCGGTGCTATCATAAAGTTTGAACATGGGCTTGGATTGGTTGAATAGTTATATGTATTGGGGCTTAACTGGGGCTAATCACATGAGTCCAAAAGGACAAAAGAAACGTCTTTAACAGTATATATGCATAAGATTATATAATATTCCTCCTATTCTTATTCCTCTTCCTCCATCTCCATATACTCTTTTGTGTTTGTTCCCAAATGAGTATATGAGCTGCAACAATTCGAATTACAGATATTTCCTCATGAAGGTGAGTTCATTTTCTTTGTATAAAAGTAGCTTATACATGTTGCGTAGTTGCTCCTGCTGAGTTTTTATGATCTGTAATCGTTCCATTCTGTATTTGATAATAAGGGAGGAGTTTCCTTCAGAGCTTCACTGTCTTGTATTTTGCCATTCTGCAATTGTTATTGAAAAGAGCCCTTTTCCCAGAAATTAAAAAGAAAATTTTACATGGAGTTATTTTTACATATATATTTAATTGCCTCTTCTTGTATCTCTTCCTGTCTTTCAGGAAATTTTAAATCCCTGATAGCAGTTTTGAAATTGATAATGTTGGATCATGATACAACGGCCGGCAAGAGGTACAAGTAAATTAGCAAATAGCAATTCCATTTCAATACTTAATCAACAATCTTTGATTTCTGAATGGTTAAATGGATATTCATACAGTGATGAATTCAGAAATGGCACCAGCAATTAGGCTTTAACGATAAGTTTACTATGGTCAAGCACTATATTTCAAATCAAATCCATTCCACTTAAATTAGATCATTACAATTCATGATAAGCATTCCTCTGTTTCAAGAATACTACACCCTATGCCATGAAAGCCAATATACTTGTACATTAACAAATTCATCTGAACAAAGATCATTTCTTGCCAACAAAACCTGCACACTAAATTTTATCTATAACCCATTTCATGGACATTTTTGGATATGCAATTGCAAACCCACAGACTTGGTGGGCTGAATTTCAGAAACCTTTCCAGGTAATCAGAACTTCATGAAAGACTTCAGCTATAAGCTCCCATCAGCACACAGCAGAAACGCATTGAACTCGTCTCGAATGTCATATCTTGCCAAACTTCACAGATACCGCATGCAGCTGCTCTTCAGTTTCGGCAATGCAAATAGAGATGCATTTTGCAGTCTCTCAAGCCATTCTTTGCGTCAATGTCTTCCAAAAGACTGTCATGGCAAGCCTCTTTCAAGTCGGAGATGTCATACTTATCAGCTGCGCGAAGAAGCGCCAATCGATGGGTGAGAAAGTCCTCATGTTCGATATTCCCATAAATATAACTGAGAAAAGCTTGACAAGCTTCAATCGACATATCAGAAATGTTAATAGTTGAGAGCTCTTTCTTTTCAGATCATGTGAAAACATGCTGCGAAAACAGGCGATCGCGCAGCAAGAACCGCGCGATGAGCTCCAATACTTCCATCAGAAGCATTAATAATGATGTCCGTGTGGATATTCTCCCTCAACATTCGACCAAGAGATGCAAGAGCAGTCTGCATTGATCGTTTTCCAGAGAATCCTTCAGCCCAAATAGAGCAAGGCTCTCCACCTGCATATTTTACACAATTCACCATCAAAAATAACCAGGTACGCCATTAACAACATCATTCTAGTTGAATAAATTTCAGTACTAATTATAAAATTCGGCACAATTAGATATCTGGAGAGAAGATGCATACTTCTGGAGGTACAACTTCAAATCAAGAAATTCGACGTCAATGATGAATTTTCCAGTCAGGGAACCTCAATTGCCCAAACAAAATCGTCGTTGCTCTTGAGCTTCCTGTCTGTAATTCTGCAGAAGAATTGGATGAAAAAATCTATCAAATGAGCGCATTCTTAATGATAAGAAAGAATTCAGCTATAGTTTTATCAATAATTTTACCTGGATGAGTCAAAGACTGCGATCTCCAACAGAACAAACCACTCGAATAATGAAAGAAGCAATTGGGATGTATCTCTAGTCAAATGATATCTCGGATGCAATTTGACAAACAACATCTTGCTCTTCTCCACTGTTAGATGCCTTAAATTCACCAAAAACAAAAACAAAATATTCAAAAAAAATTCAAAAGATAAAAATTTTACAAAAACAGGGCAAAACAGAGGGTTTTACACTCACAGTTCACTTGCCGATCTTGAAAGGATCGGACTGCGGTAAGTACAGGAAGCCAAATTTTCTATCCGCCATTGAGCAAGACGCGACGGGTTTCAACCTTATACGCAGAATCGCTCATCCTAGCGAAAGCCAGAGCCGTTGTGATCTCATGGATGCAATCAAATATTCCTTCCCGAATATACTCTCCGGTCTTTCCCAGGTTTACTTTCAATAAATTTCCTATCTTCATAAACATAAATACACAACGAAAAAAAACTCACCAAACAACACACTCTTCACACTATTTCCAGCCTTCCAAAATATCCCACAACACAAAATATAAATAGAATTGTGTTTAGAATGTGTTGTTGTTTGTTGTTTTGTTGTTTTCGCGCACGCAAGGAAAGGGTCTTGGTGTTGCTTTACGCATTGAAGCTGAAGAATGATGGCTTTGTTAACAGAGGGAAAGATGAAAAGATAGAAAGAAAGAAAGGAGAAGGCAAACTGAGATAAAGAGATTTGGTGAAGGGTTGGTGGCTTACACTACACTGAAACAGGGGATTTTATATTAAGAAATATTTAATTTTAATGGAGGTTTTGGTTTGTTTTTTTCTCATTAATCAAAGGGTGGTTTGTGTATTATATTATGTGAAATTTTTGTAGGGAGAAAAATTTTCCCACCCAAGGTTTGGCGGAACAGATTTTACCCCTGTCAAGTTTCAAAATGCTACTTTCCCATTATTCGTTAGGTTCTGTTAGGTTTTCTGTTAATATTTGATTAAAAGATGAATACCATAAATAGTTTAATTCTTATTAGTTTATATAAATTAAAATTTAGTTAAGACAAAATATTATTCGATTATTTATTAGTTCAAGTGTAAATTTTTGTCTCTTATTTATTTAATTAATTTGAATGTTGATTTTTTATGTTAATTAGTAAAATGAAAAACATTATAATATAGTATATTATGATAATAGTGATGGAATATTGATGACATTATAAATAAATAAATATTAACTTTACACAATTTCATAGCTTTACTCCAATTTTTTAGGCGGGTTAAATTTTATTTTTATTTTACTTTTATATTTACATTGGCTAATTAAAAATAATAAAAAAATTTATAAAGTAAATATTAAGGATATTTTGTCTTTCAGTAAAATATTAAAAGAAATAATAAAGAACCTAACGAAGGGTGGGAAAGTATTATTTTGAAACTTGAAGTGGGATGGACAGTGTCGTTTGGCCAAACCTTGGGTGGGAAAATGTTGTTCTCCTATTTTTGTACGTGGGTTGTGGTATGCTTGAAACTTGGAGAAGAGAGAAAGGTGTTTTTCTGTTTTTTTTTTTTGTTTGTGTTTGGTGCTTGAAGCAAAGAATCTATGCCTTTGGGCTTTGTGGATTTGATTGTTTCTTTCTTTAATTAATGAATCACACATAGTTTTCTTTTTGTGCTTTTCCTTTAACTCAATCTTGGATTTGCTTGCACCCAATTCTTTAAGCAACAAATGAAAATTTAATTAATTAAATAATTTTAATAAAAAAATAATTACTTAAATTGACTATACACCTTATTAAATAAAAAATTTGACATGAAGTTTTAGGCATGGAAATGTAATTAATTATTGACTTTTTGGTCATTCAATCGATTCTTACCTAAATATGGTTGATAATAAATGGGTGTTATAAAGATTATATGAATTGTATGTGGTTCTGATACTATGACAGGTGGTTTCAGTATCTAAAAAACTAACTCAATAGAGAAGGGACTTCTCTCTCTCTCTCTCTCTCTCTCTCTCTCTCTCTCTCTCTCTCGTCTCTCTCTATATATATATATATATATATATATAGACTGTTATAGATATATGTAGATTGTTATGGTAGAATGTTATGGTGTATATATGTGATTGAGTTCCTCCTTTATTGAGTTAGCTTCAATAGAGGAAGAGACTCTCTCTCTCTCTCTCTCTCTCTCTCTCTCTCTCTCTCTCTCTTCTCTATATATATATAATATAATCTATATATATATATGGTAGACTGTTATGGTGTATATATATGATGAGTTTCCTCCTCTATTGAGGTAGCTTTTGGGGGGAGTTCTACCAAGTACATTCAAAGC